TTTTTTTTTTTTTTTTTTTCCTGGATGGAATATATGACTAAATTAATTTATGGTGGGTGAATTGTAATGTTTGGATTATGGTATGTAAAAACCTCTGACCGGCTGGAAATCAGTCTGCTCACGAGCTTCCTCGCCGGTCGAACGCTTTTAGACCAACAAAAACTCTCACTCCATAGAGGTTTTTCGGTGAAAAGTCTTCAGTGCTTAAATTAATATGTGTAGAAGATGAACTCTAGGGAATATAGAGTAATATAAACGTAATAATATAAAATCGCACATCTCACCCATATTTATATGAGTGAGATACCTACTTACATAAGGCTGCCCGGATAAAGTGAGCTGGCTGCCCAAGCTGCCAGATAGTACAACCTTTATGTTTACAATGTCAGAGCGGTTATGGGGCGTAGACCAATCAGGCGATCACATGTTTTTATGCCAATTATTATCAGTATTATCATATTTCGATACGGTGTGACGGATTTGATTTTACTTTAAAGATGAAAGTTGAGTAGTGCAAAAGCAGTATTTTGGTAGTCATTCAATGTTGAAACAATAATTATTATATTAAAAAATTGTTAAAATATTAAATATATTTTTTTAAGTTAAATCAATAATTTAGCTAATATTTTATGGAATAAAAAGTAAAATGATAAAATTTTATAAACTTTTGAAATCATATAAAATATACATAGTAATGAAATTTAATCTATGTATATATAATAATAATAGCCATTTACTAAAAGTAGTAATCAAAATTTTGGTAGCATTTAATTCATACTTTCTTTGGAAACTTTTTAAATATACTCATTAATTGCTTCCATGTACGCGTTTTCAAATAAGATCAAATCATATATGACAAAAAATATTGTTTTCTTAAATTATTTTATTAGTATCTGCAATAATTTCATTGATATTTATTATATTAAATTACAAGATTGATTTTATGTGATTCATGTTGATAATGTTTTGGTCAAGATAAATATTACAACATATTTTATGTTCTAACTATAATTTTATTTTGTTTCAAAAAAAATCATTTTTTATTTAAAAATATTTATAGAAAATCGTAATAGGTTAGATAAAAAAATTTCTTCTAATTAATCAGGGGAAATTAAGTTGGTGAATTAACCTTTACCTCTACAATTTTTTATTAAGCTTTATTTCATTATATATAAAAAAAATAAATTATTCTTTAAATTAATATAGTTTACCATTGATGAGATAACCAGATACATTAAATAGTTTTACTAATGGTCAAAAATTAAAATTAAAATATATTAAATGTTCTTTAGAATTTATTTATATATTATAGGCAACCATGATTATGTTTTTCCATTTTTTATTTTAATTTATTTCTTGAATAAAATTATTGTGAAATACATTTTCATTGCAGAGTATGGTAAATAAACTATAAATTATTATAATGCGAATTAGAAAAATCTTTGATTATAGAAGGGATTAAGTTTTTGGTATTTTCTAAAACAAAGTTGTTGAATTAGTATACAAATTAAATTCTAAGAAAACATGTTTGTATATTTTGTAAAATATTTATACACTATTTAATTTTCAATTTATCTACATATTTAAAAATGATTACCTAAATAAATAATACTAATGTGCATTAAGTATTTTTTTGAATCTCATAAAATGAAAAGAAAAAGAAAACCTATAACTTTTATAATTTTTATAAATAATAATGACATTATACGATAACAAAGTTAATAATAAAACA